ACCCCCCCCCCCCCAATCCCTTCATCCATTGGGTTGGAAAATCCGGAGCTGGATCCTCCCCCTGCTCAGTTTTTTAGGGATTTGCATTCCCAGCCTGGTTTTTGTTTTTTTTTCTTCCCTCCCAGGGGGCTCTTCCCGCTCCTTTTCCCCGTATTTGGCTCCTGGGATTTTCCTCTGGAAAATTGATCCCCTTTTCCCCCATTCCCGTTTTTTTGGGGGCTGTTGTTTGTCTTTTTTTCCCCATCTTTTCCCCCTTCCCAGCCCTTGGAATCCTGGGAATGCTGGGGGAGGGGTGGGAAGGGATCCTAAAGGACCATCCCGTTCTGACCCCCCGGAAGGGGCCAAATTCCCCAAAAAAAATATCCCTTTGGATGGAGGGAGGAGAAACTTCCAGGCCACGGGGGCTGGGAATGGAGCTGGGAATGGAGCTGGGAATCCTCAGCTGGGGGAAAATCCCTCCGGAATTCCGGAGTCCCTCTGCTCTGGATCCATCGGGAAGCACCAGGGATATTCCTGGATTGGGGAGGGGGGTGACACCTCCCTGCTTCCCGAAATTCCCGAAATTCTTGGGATCTCTGGGATGCCGGGAGGGGTCTGGATGCCACTGGATCTCCAGAGGGGGATCTCCAGTAGGAACTCGACATTCCCACATGGCCGGGAATTCCCAGGGATCCTTTGGGAAGCACCTGGATTGGCAGGGGGGGTGACAGCTCCCTGCTTCCCGAAATTCCTGAAATTCTCGGGATCTCTTGGATCTCAGGGGGGGCTTTGGATCACCCCCAGGGGGGTCTGGATCTCCAGAGGGGGATCTCCAGTAGGAACTCGACATTCCCACATGGCCGGGAATTCCCGAGGATCTGGGAACACGGATATTCCCTCCCTGCTTCCCGAAATTCCCGAAATTCCTGGGATCTCTGGGATACTGGGGGGCTTTGGATCACCCCCAGGGGGGTGGGATCTCCAGTAGGAACTCGACATTCCCACATGGTTGGGAATTCCCAGTGATCCATCAGGAAGCACCAGGGATATTCCTGGATTGGGGAGGGGGCTGACACCTCCCTGCTTCCCGAAATTCCCGAAATTCTTGGGATCTCTGGGATGCCGGGAGGGGTCTGGATGCCACTGGATCTCCAGAGGGGGATCTCCAGTAGGAACTCGACATTCCCACATGGCCGGGAATTCCCAGTGATCCATCGGGAAGCACTTGGATTGGCAGGGGGGTGACACCTCCCTGCTTCCCGAAATTCCCAAAATTCTTGGGATCTCTGGGATGCTGGGGGGTGGGATCTCCAGAGGGGGATCTCCAGTAGGAACTCGACATTCCCACATGGCCGGCCATTCCCTCCCTCCCTCCCTCCTCTTTTTCCCGCCGCGGGAATTCCCGGCGCGGCTCGGGGGGGGCTGAAATTTTTCCCGGGATTTTTGTTTTTTTCCCGCAGTTCGTGAAGTTCGCGAACATCGAGGAGGACACGCCCTCCTACCACCGCAGCTACGACTTCTTCGTGTGCCGCTTCAGCGAGATGTGCCACTCCAGCCACGAGGATCCCGCCGTCAGAGCCAGGTGGGCGATTCCAGCCGGGAATTCCAGCCGGGAATCCCACCCGGGAACCGTCACGGGGCGGGGGGAGGGAATGGAAAGGGAGGGGGAGGGGTTGGGGGAGGGGATTATCCCGGGGAAAAGAGGGATCAGGAGGGAGGTTTTGCCGCTCCCAGAATTCCCCGGTTCCCAGGGAATGTGGGGTGGGAGGGAGAGGGAATTTTGGGAGCAATTCCCGCCTGGAAAGGGCTGTCGGGCACTGGAATTGCTGGAATCCCATCCCTGCAGGGATTCCTGTGGATCCCGGAATCCTGGGAGTGGTTGGGATCCTCACTCCAAGACAGGGAGGGCATGGAGCGTTTCCAGGGAAAGGGATGGAATCAGGGAAGGGGCTGGAGCAGCGGGAATAATTCCCATGGAATGAGGGATGGGAGGAGAGGGAATATCGGGAACAATTCCTGCCTGGAAAGGGCTGGAATGAACTTCCCAGGGCAGGGGGGGATTCCCAATCAATCCCTGCAGGGATTCCCAATCCATCCCTGGGGATGTGGCCCTTGGGGATTCCTGGGAATCTCCCAGCACTTCCAGCTCCTCCTTTTCCCCAGGAATTCCCCTCATTCCCAGCCCCTCCAGCAGCTCCATCCCAGCCCTTTCCCGGGGCACAACCAGCTCCCAAAATCCCCCCAGGGGGGAAAAAGTGGGATCAGGGATGGGAACTTCTCCCTCTCCACAATTCCCTGCCAGGAGAGGGGGGGATTGGGAGGGATATTGGGAATGATTCCCACCTGGAAAGGGTTTCCAGGCCTTGGAATTGCTGGGTGGGATATTGGGAATGATTCCCACCTGGAAAGGGTTTCCAGGCCTTCCTTGGAATTGCTGGAGTTGCCATTCCCGAGGGAATTCCCAATCCCTGGGGCTGTGGCCCTTGGGCTGGGGGTGATTCCTGGAGATCCTGGAGATCCCTGGATCTGGGAATGGGGCCCGGGAGCATTTTGGGAATATCCCTCTGGAGCCATTCCCGGGGTTCCTGCGGCCACCAAACCCCCGGGATTTGTCATTCCCAAGGGATTCCCATCCCTCAGGATCAGCTTTCCTTCCTTTGCCCACCTGGGGCTGGGAATTTTTTTCCTCAAAAAGGGGGGAAAAAAGGTGGAAAAAACTCCTGATTTTCCCTCCATCTCCGGAAAAACCGGAGACGGGAATTAGGGCGGGGCTGATTCCAGCTGGGAATTCTGGAATTCCAGACTGGGAATCCCCCAAACTGGGGATTTTTTTGGGAATTCAGGGGCTCAGGAAGCACTTTGGGGGTTTATTTCCTTCCTATCCCAAGTTTTCCATGGGAAAAAACGGCTTTGGATCCCTCTGGAATGAGACAAAACCGGGAACAATATTCCCAGGGAATGCTGGTGCCACTGGAGCATTCCTGGGATTCTTGGGATGGCGGAAATCCTGGAATATTTGGGCGGGAAGGGGCCTAAAACTCATCCCATTCCCGACACTCTGGAATTCTCCCCCAGGGAATCCACCCCTTGGAGGCTCCCAGGGGTTGGAATATCCCGGATTTTTCTCTTCTGGATAATTTTGGGATCCCAAATGGGGATCCAGGGGCTCAGGAATTTTGGGGAATCCAGGGGCTCAGGAATTTTTGGGAATCCAGGGGCTCAGGAATTTTTGGGAATTTCTCCCATGGGGAATCCACCCCTTGGACGCTCCCAGGGGTTTGGAATATCCCAAATTTCTCCCTCCCCTGGGTAATTTTGGGATCCCAAATGGGAATCCAGGGGCTCAGGAATTTTTGGGGATTTCTCCCATGAGGAATCCACCCCTTGGACGCTCCCAGGGGTTGGAATATCCTGGATTTTTCTCTCTCTCCTGGATAATTTTGGGATCCCAAATGGGGATCCAGGGGCTCAGGAATTTTTGGGAATATTTGGGCGGGAAGGGACCTTAAAACTCATCCCATTCCCTGCCTGGGAATTCCACCATCCCAGATTTCTCCCATGGGGAATCCACCCCTTGGACGCTCCCAGGGGTCGGAATATCCCAAATTTCTCTCTTTCCTGGATAATTTGGGATCCCAAACAGGGAATCCAGGGACTCAGGAATTTTTGGGAATTTCTCCCATGAGGAATCCACCCCTTGGACGCCCCCAGGGGTTTGGAATATCCGGGATTCCCCCCTCCCCTGGGCGATTTGGGCTGGTTTTCCCGGCAGGATCCGGATGTCGGGGATCAAGGGCCTGCAGGGGGTGGTGAGGAAGACGGTGAATGACGAGCTCCAGGCCAACATTTGGGATCCCCAGCACATGGATAAGATCGTCCCTTCCCTGCTCTTCAACCTCCAGCACGGGGAGGAGCCCCAAAGGTGGGAATAACGGCCCTGGGAAACGGGGAAGGGGCGGGAATTCTGTCTGGGAAGAGGGGGAAGGGGCAGGAATTCCCATCTAAGGGACGGGAATTCCAGCCTGGGAAACAGGGAAGGGGCAGGAATTCCTCCTGGGAAGAGGGAAAGGGGTGGGAATTCACGCCTAAGGGGCAGGAATTGCTACCTGGGAAGGGGGAAAAGGGGCAGGAATTCCCATCTAAGGGGCAGGAATTCCAGCCTGGGAAGAGGGGAAGGGGCGGGAATTCCTCCTGGGAAGAGGGGAAGGAGCAGGAATTCCCATCTAAGGGGCAGGAATTCCAGCCTGGGAAGAGGGGAAGGGGTGGGAATTCATGCCTAAAGGGCAGGAATTCCTCCTGGGAAGAGGGGGAAGGGTGGGAATTCCTCCTGGGAAGAGGGGAAGGAGCAGGAATTCCCATCTAAGAGACAGGAACTCCAGCCTGGGAAGAGGGGAAGGACTGGGAATTCCTCCTGGGAAGAGGGGAAGGGGAAGGAATTCCTGCCTGGGAAGGGGGAAAAGGGGCAGGAATTCCTCCTGGGAAGAGGGGACGGGGTGGGAATCCTTCATGGGAAGAGGGGAAGGGGCAGGAATTCTTTCTGGGAAGAGGGGAAGGGTCCCTCTCCCAGTTTTTCCAGGTCCTTCTCCCACTTTCTCCAAGATCCCTCTCCCAGATTTTCCAAGGTTTCTGTCCCAGTTTTTCCAGGCCCCTGTCCCAGTTTTTCCAGGTCCCTCTCCCAGTTTTTCCAGATCCCTCTCCCAGTTTTTCCAGGCCCCTCTCCCAGTTTTTCCAGCCCCTTTCCCAGATTTTTCCAGGTCCCTCTCCCAGATTTTTCCAGGCCCCTCTCCCAGTTTTTCCCAGTCCCTCTCCCAGGTTTTCCAAGATCCCTGTCCCACATTTTCCAAGGTTTCTGTCCCAGTTTTTCCAGGTCCCTCTCCCAGATTTTCCAGGGTCCCTATCCCAGATTTTCCAGGATCTCTCCCACAGTTTTTCCAGCTCCCTCTCCCAGATTTTCCAGCTCCCTCTCCCAGTTTTTCCAGCCCCTCTCCCAGCCGTTCCCATTCCCTGTGGGTGTTTCCCAGCCGTTCCCCGTCCCCGGTGGGGGGTGCTCGGAAGGAGCGGGAGGTTCCGGCGGATCTGGCCGAGCGGTGCCTGCGGGAGCTGCTGGCGAGAGCGGCCTTTGGCAACATCAAAAACGCCCTCACGCCCGTCCTGCTGTGAGTTCTGATTCCCAAAATCCCAAAATCCATGTCCTCATTCCCAAAATCATCAAAAATGCCCTCACGCCCGTCCTGCTGTGAGTCCTGATCCAAAAAATCCCCAAATCCATGTCCTCATTCCCAAAATCATCAAAAACGCCCTCACACCCGTCCTGCTGTGAGTCCTGATTCCCAAAATCCCCAAAATCCACCTCCTCATTCCCAAAAACATCAAAAACGCCCTCACCCCCGTCCTGCTGGGAGTTCTGATTCCCAACATCCCAAATTCCACCTCCTGCTTCCCAAAGTCCACCTCCTCATTCCCAGAATCCACCTCCTGATGCCCAAAATCCACCTCCTCATTCCTAGAATTCCAAAATCCACCTCCTGATTCCCAAAAGCATCCGGAAGGGCCTCACCCCCGTCCTCCTGGGAGTTGTCATTCCCAAAAAATCCACATCCTGCTGCCGAAAATTCCGCCTCCTGCTTCCCAAAATTCCGCCTCCTGCTTCCCAAAATTCCATGTCCTGCTTCCCAAAATTCCCTGTCCTGCTTCCCCAAAATCCAGCTCCTGCATCCCAAAGCTCTGACTCCCGCTTCCCAAAAATCCCAGTCCTGCTTCCAAAACTACTGAGTCCTGCATCCCAAACTTCTGGGCCCTGCTTCCCAAACTTCCCAGTCCTGGATCCCAGCATTTGGAGTCCTGCTTCCTAAAAATCTGAGTCCTGGATCCCAGAATTCCCAGTCCTGCTTCCCAAACTTCTGAATCCTGGACCCCCAAAAATCCAAGTCCTGCTTCCCAAAATTCTGGTTCCTGCTTCCCAAACTTCCCAGTTCTGGATCCCAAAAAAATCCAAGTCCTGCTTCCCAAATCTCGGACTCCTGGATCCCAACATTTTGGGTCCTGCTTCCCAAAATTCCTAGTCCTGCTTCCCAAACTTTTGCATCCTGCATCCCAAACTTTGGAGTCCTCCATCCCAAAATCCTTTGCCCTCCATCCCAAAATCCTTTGCCCTCCATCCCCACAATCCCATTCCCGCATCCCAAACTTTCCCCTCATGGAAAACCCCTGGAATCCGCCCCGGGATCCCCCTGGACCCCCCTCCCTCCCCCCATCCCCCTTTGGATTCCAACCTTCATTCCCAGCTCCCCCTTTTCCCAGTTTTTTGTTTGTTTGTTTTGGTTTTTTCCTGGGATTCCCTCCCAACCCTTTTCCCGGCATTCCCAATCTTTCCCAGGCACCTGGATAACCATTCCCTGTGGGAGCCCAAGGTTTTTGCCACCGGCTGCTTCCGGATCATCATGTACTCCATCCAGGTGAGGGGCCGGGAAAATCCCGGAGATTCCCGGAGCCTCCGGGAATTCGGGGCCATTCCCACTTCCTGGAATGTGGGAATACCATTCCAAGGGGGGAAAACTCTGGGATATTCCGGAGCTTCTGGGAATTCGGGACCATTCCTGCCTGGAATTCCCTGGGATCAATTCCCACCATTCCCATGGATTTCTCCAACTCCTGGGATCGTTTTTCCCGGGAAAATGGCTCCGAGGTCTGGCTGAGCTCTGGAGAACTGGCTTCCCTCGGGATTTGGGAAGGGTTATTCCCATTGTTTTCCCTTTGGATTCAGCCCATTCCTGCCTGGAAAACCCTGAGCTCCCCTCCCCTGATCCCATTCCTGCTTTTTGATCCCATAAAATTCCCAAATCCCTGGAAATCGCTCCCAGATGGTCCCAAATCCCATTGGAATTGTGATCCCAGACTGCCCCTGGAATTCCAGCTGCGTTTGGGAATCCCTGGCAGGAATCAAACCCTTTTTCCCTGGAATCCCCTGGGATCAATTCCCACCATTCCCATGGATTTCTCCAACTCCTGGGATCATTTTTCCCGGGAAAAACCCCTCCCAACCCCCCCCCCCCATCCCTTCTCCAAACACCCTTTTATTCCCGGGATTCCTCCCCGGGAAAACCCCCCGGGGTGGGTGGTGGGAAAAAAAAACCAGGATGGATCCCAGGGGGTCATTCCCGCTGTTTTCCCGCTTTTCCCAGCCCCAGCATTCCCACCTGGTGATCCAGCAGCTGCTGGGCCACCTGGACTCGCACAGCCGGAGCGCCGCGCCGATCCGGGCGGGAATCGTGGAGGTGCTGTCGGAAGCCGCCGCCATCGCCGCCTCCGGATCCGTCGGTCAGAATTCCAGCCCTTCCCTTCCCTTCCCTTCCCTTCCCTTCCCTTCCCTTCCCTTCCCTTCCCTT